TGACTTTATAGTGAAGCGACAAGTGCGCATGCAATTTGTTCGAGACGCAATTGCGAAAGCTTAGTATCCGCAAAAAAAAAAGAGCGGAAGGAGAAACAAGAAGGAATATAAGGTCAATGATCCTGTACTACTTAGCACAACAAATCTGCCTGAACATGTAGTCCATAACTTAGAAAGCAGAAAGCTTTTGCTAGGTTTCATTGGACTGTTTGTGGTGTTGAAATGCAATGGTGACGCGTGTAAATTTAGCCAATCCTACATGCATGTGCCTACATCCTACATTTTTGTGGGTAGGCTAAAGTCGTATCTTCCGAGTAGATCTGCCAATCCTACTCTACCTTTAATATACGATCGAGCTGATGATGACGTTTCTCCATTTGTCCGCAATGAGCAACTAATTTCTCATCCAGGAGATTCTTCTCGGCGTAAAAGCGTTGGAGGACATCGAAGGGTTCCTCCTTCACTGATTTAATGCTTGAAGGCAAAAATGTTCTCAGCACGAAATACCTTTAGAGCAAAACCTGCCTCTTCAACCGAGCGCAACAAGTGTTCGTGGCCCATCTCAGGCGATTTCTCGTCCCTCCGGGGTCGAACAATTTCATCATGAATCTGTTAAAATCGTACTTCAAAAAGAGACTCCAAAGCCGAGCAATGAGCGAAGCCATCAGTCAAAACGTCGAGTGTTCAGTTCTGCTCCGCAACAAGATACGAAACGCCCTCGCAGCGATCTTCAAGCTCCAAGCAACGCTGCTGCAATGCCTCAAATTGCTCGCGATGAGCGCTCCTCTGCTTCCAGAGTCGTTTAACCGCTTTCACAATCATTCCCACCTCCGTGATTAGACTTTCGTGGAGAGCGTCGTTGGGTGGTTGAGACGATTGTCGATCATGAGGATCGACCGACTCGCTATCGTGAAGATATGCAGTTGAACCATCATCGCTTCTACGGACTTTGGTGGCGCGGCTATCCATCGGACTCGGACACGTGGGTACGTCGTCAGGCCTTTGTGTGATGTCTTCGACGTGGTCCGCAGCTACGAAAATGGCCTGTAGTATTGCCAGAGGCAATACTACGACGACTAGAGCTTGGTTGTTTTCGTGACTGAAAGATCTGTCAACACTGACTCGGCAAAGCAAACGCACCATCTTGTTCTCATTCTCAGAGTGAACAAATGTTCGCCGAGAGTCGAGCTTAGCTGCGATGTGCTGGGTAGGATCATCACGATTGTTGATCCGACGCCAACGAAAGAAATGTTCCATATAGAACCCCTTGTCTCCATTGTTGGTGAGAATTGAAGAAAATGGCAAACTGTTCTGTAAACCTTCTTTGCCGTGTAGGCGAAGAACCCTCTTTATTGTCGACTTGCTCACTTGATCTCTCCATTGTTGATCGGAAAGTGGACTGCTTCAAAAGATCTGCAAAAGAATCAAATATATTAAAGGAGGGGATGATGTCATGGGCTACACATGAAGGTACATCTATGCAGCTTCTGTATCCACTCTGGAAATCTATAGAACAAGGGGTCTAAATACATACGTGACATCTTATATGAAGTCACAAACATTCTGTGTGATACAAAGTGCTGTTTATGCTTGGAGAGCTGTATTGGTGACGAGATCGACGTGTCTCTGTCCATCGAAATGGGTGGCGTGAGCCAGTCACTTCTATAGGATTATTTCACAAAAGTTGAAGTTTGCATTTTTTGAAGTTCTACACAAAGTTTTATATGATTTAAAGCTGAGGCCAAACCTTAGTACTCTCTTGATTTATGAACAGGATCCAAGGAATTATTAGTCAAACCCTGATGATCCCTTGGGGTGATTTGAATTGTAGCTAAGAACCACAACTCATTTTGATTCAAATGCAAATTTATTTTAAAGATGTTAAGTCGTACTTCTTCCCTATACGTCGGGACTGTCCTTTTTACCTAAACGTGGGAAATCGCTTTCTCTTCGTACAAGCGTGTGTGTTGCTTTTGCGGGACTATTTGTGAACAGCGCCATCTTACATGTCCCAGCTACACCGTCACACATGACAAGGATATCACAGTCGTCTGTTTATACTAGTCTTTATCCTGGAGATTGCGGCAGTAAGTGTCGTCACATTGTCAGCGTGAGATTAATCCTCAGATACCGCAACACAAGGTCGCTAGTCAACGTTCCACCAGGAGTGTTCTGTAATAATTCCGGCGCAAAGCCGAAGTATCAGTTTATCTCGCGGTTGGACACCGAAAGATACGGTGGATTATCACCGTCATCGTCTAAAGATCTTCATTCATAGCCGCTTCTGCCAACTAAGCTTATTATAAAGCTCTGAGTAAAACCGTTTCGTACCATTTGGACAATCCCATGTCCCGTGCCAAAAATAGCGCACGTCTTTCGTGCCCGCGTTAAAAAACCCTATGCTTTCAGCAGACGTCAAAGCATAAATTCCAACACTCATTGTTTTTCTTGATCATCTCAAATCCAGATTCCAAGAGGAGATAGCGTATCTCGCCGTCAAGCTTATTAAATGTGCTAAGATTCCGGGGCTATCGACATTTGACGAGTAATACCGTTGCGAGACATACGGATATTGTCCTCCCTCGGTATCCTTGTCCCATCTTGATAATTGCGCGTCGTACGTATCATCACGACTTTTCGAAAGTTATCAGGACTTTTTTGTAACACAAAGGTTTAAAATTGGATGCTGAAAGCGCGCAATACTGCGCTGTTCGCCCCGCCTCTCTAAGGTAAAGTTGCGTAAGCATCCGATAACCCCGGTCTGTACGACTACAAAATGTTGCCAGTACGATGAATTATATAGGAGAACTGAATAGCTAGAGTAGCCCTGTCTTTCTCCTTTGCCTGATCGAGGTCCACCGCCTCTGGTGTGCTTATATAACATGCGTTCAACTTGGCCTTGTCGATCCAAAACCTGTGCCCCGCATTTAATGCGATCCGTTGCTTCCTCAAATGCGATTGGGTGGGCGCGGAAGGTTCATGTGGGAGCTGCTACTACTTTGTGTCCCTCTGTGACGATGATAACTGTAAATGTTCTCCGAAGTAGTACAGTCATCAACCTGTCTGTGAGAGTTTCAAACTGTTGGTGCTAGTCCACCTATTCTCACTTCCCTCGACGAGTGACTAAGTTTTCGACCGTATGCGGGAAGCATGATGTGAGGTAGCGCAGGCTCTGTCCATTATATTCTTCATGCGCGACCTTCTGGCTGAGTGATTGCTAGCACGATTGGTGTTGCTCAAGCAAGAACAGAGCAAAGTCGATGACCACCTCAGCCATTCGTATGACGAGGGGGGGTATGCTGGCAAACGTTTCTATGAGAATTAGATTCCGTGAACATGACTTGTCTCTCGATAGCTAGATTTACTTAACCTACGGTTCGGGTCAAGATGTAGATATCTGAATTAGGGTGATAATGTAAGAAAGTTGCACTTGTATAACACGTAAAATTAATTTTAATATCGAACATATACTTTTGCTTTCAAAGGCTCAGATCTTAAAAACGGATTTCTCGCTCTAATTTTTTGGGAGCGTTAGTGTTATTTGATGCCTGACTAAAAAATTACTCTGGTTCGAATCGCCAGCGCATTTTCGTAGTTAATGAGTGCCTCCAGGCGAGCGGTAACTGATGCTTGTCCGTGTTAGCACATACTTACATCATCAAGCATGTCATGAGATCTGAAACGAAAAATCAAGATAAATTCTGATGGTGACAGCAAAAGAACTTACTCCAACTAATTAACGGGCCCTTTGCTAATATCTTGTCAGCACAGTATGGTCTTTTTGCTGCGTGCTGCATCGTGATATGTCCTGTATGATAAGCTACACTAGCTGAGCGATGTGCATGCATGCTGGCTTTCGTTTTGCTGTAATATAATTTCTTGGTAATATTAGTTCGTACATTTAAAATCAGTAAATCTGCTACATATATATAGTGCGGCAGCTAGGTCGAGTGGTTGAGGGATTAGCCTGCTAACCGAATGGGGCAACCCGCATGAGTTCGAATCTCACAGTTGTCGGTCGCATCATTACTATTCGCGTCAATCAGATAGAGATTTCTTTTGTTTGTCTTGTAGGCATCATGACTTGTTGCCGATTGACGTAGCAGATATCCATTCAGTAATATTCGCTTAGTATGGAAGAGGTCTAAATATGAAATTATTAAAGCGGTTCTGGACATGAGATCTATGCACAGCATTAATAATCGCTTTTAGCCTTGAGCTGCCAATTGCACTATCTCGCGGCCAACTAAACCCAGGAAATTGTTGAGCGTTTCATGCTGTTCTTCCCGGAAACTGGGAACGGATGTGTGAACATATCACTAGCAGAATATACAATATAATATTTTCCCGTCTCCGGGTAGATGATTAGGGCTACAAGGCTCATTGGACCACCGCGCACAAAGGAAGGCTTAGCGTTAAGGGCGCGCGTAAATTACCGCATACTAGCCCATCAAAAGCCAAATGGGGAGTTTTTCAAAGTACTATTTCTCATTTGCTTATCCTAATGAATTTATATACAGATTTTAAGCTATCGGAAAATGATATTGAATATATATATTCAATTTTCACAACCCTAAGTAAGGCATGCGTGAGGTTGGCACTCATGGATTTCTCCTTGACGTAGTGCCATCACTTCCGTCTGTAGTGAGACCTAATAATGATGCTTCGCCATGTTAATTCGACATGGTACTTAGGAGCTCCGCTCTATGTCCGAAGAGCCGGCCCGAGCTCAAATGGTTAGTCACTTGACCTGGGACCGAGAGCCTGGTTCGATACCCATGGGACCCGAACTTAATCAGCCGGAGAAATGTCACTAAAGTGATGCGTGATCATACTTTAAGAGTGTGTCTACTTTGCCAACCCGCACCCTAATGGATGTGTGATAGTAGGGTGGGCTGGAGGTCCCACTGACCGAAAAATCCCCATAGGTTAACGAGGAGTACGAAACCCGATCCCAAAAAGGGTCGGATAGCTACAACCTTCCCGCGCTAGAGAAAGGTTGTGGATATCGATGGCTTAGATTACCAGGGTTATATGCGCGTACGCCATAATTTTGTACAAACCTTGTCACTATCTCATTCGAGCCGCACATGTACAGAGAACCTAAGCAAATAGAATAATCGTTGCCAATTTCGGCATAAGTCAGCGGTCATCCGAGTTATATAAGGCAAGAGCTTACTACCTGAATTTTGCTTGATTTCTTGGTAAGATTGTATCAAGAATCAAACGTCGGATTGACGATGAGTGCTACCAAACGCAGCGGATTCACTTTGACTCCAACGTAGAAGATGTCTCCTACGAAAACAAAAACTTTCAGCCCGGCTAAACCTATTCTTCAGTGTAAGGCGATTGGCTGCCTATCCACACGTCTTTCTAATAAAGCCCTTTCTGTAAATTATTGTCTTGTCGACGTTGATCAAGCCGTGATACCAAATGCCATGGCATCACTCTGTCGTAAAAGGTTTGTGAAGTGATATGCAATAACGAGGAGGAAAAATTGCTGAAGGCTAGAATTGGCATTATATTGGCAATCATTGTAAAGCGGAAGCTGGAAGAGGCCGAGGGTTCAAGGGTCGTGCTGCTGCGGTGGTTTTCAAATGTTGGTAGTCTACGGAAGAAACGACGACGACAAGACGATTAAAACGTACACATTTTTGAACTGAAAACAGTTCGGTGAGCGACATGACATTCAATTGAATTGTCTTGCGGACATATATGACACGATGGTTCCATCCTTGACAGATTAGCAGAAGGCCAGTTCGATGACCTTTTACGACAAAACACGAACTTTATTAGTGCTTTCTACCTTTAAATGAAGACTCGCCTACAGCAAGCAGTGACACACGGATTGGCAGGTTGAGGGCACAGTTCGATACACATCTATGCGTGACATATTAAATGAACATTCGCTCAGCTTCTCATAATGCCGACTTTACTTCTTATTACCAAAAAAGTCGAAGGATTCTAATCGGAAGTCAGAGCCTGGTTCAACCTGATTCCCAGTCTCTAAACATTAAGTAGACAGAAAATTTCGTCTGCGTGCTTAATTGAATATTATACGACCAATGATGCTCCTGTATTTAAACAATCCAGTTTTAGAGTGATTAGAAAAGCCGGAGTACAATGAAACGTTGGCAAAGCAACTGATCACGACTTTGCCAGCTGTCCATCCCTAAATCGCGACATTTCGTGAGGTAAGGAGCAAAGCACAGCAAGGTGCCTCGTGTGGGAAGTATGGTGTTTCGTTGTACTGCTAATTTTAGTTTATGTAGGTCCTATAGTTCAAAAGCTGTGCGCTTTTTCTACATTTAACTAATTCTATAGATCAAAGACCTCACATGCTCAAATGACAAAATATCATCTGAAAAGTTTAGTTCAGTACGATTATACGAACTTTGCTCTACGACACCTTTGTGCTGGCTTGTGATCTGAGAATCAACCTCTTGATTTCTAATTCCATTGTTTCGACATCCACAAATCAATAGAGTGCTTCACAATGAAATGATGGCTCGGGTATGCAAGAGGCAGAAACGGAAACACTGAGCCAAACTTTGAAAATTCTCGCAATAAAGAACATTTCTAGCTTGACTTGGTGGATAACTTGCGTGAGGTGTCTGTTGTCGTGCTCTCATATATGATGGTTTTGTTTTCAGTGAATGAAACCGCCGAATGTTACATCCTAAGTACTTCAGCAAATTTTAATAAACCAAACTCTATATTGTATCGGCATCTATATTTTACCCTTTCATCTCTTCTCTCAAGATATATTGTATTACGCCATCACTGCATTGTCTATCCTAGCAATCAAAGTATCCGCAGTCCATCTGCCATCGCAATAATATCCTTTATCGAATTGCGGATGGTCCCAGGTGTTCTTGCATGTTGCAAAACAAATGAAAGCCAAATCGGATCAGCAATACACATTGCATTTGTGTTCAACAAATGTTGATCTTATGCTGAAATTTTCGCTTTCATCTCAGATTCCTTGACTTTTCCATCTGTATAGGCTGATTGGAAATCAACAACGAAACATGATCATCAACAACGAAACATGATCACGGCCAAGCAATCCTAAGATTTGAAAAATTCATGTAAAGTTTTTGCTCTGCCGCGCATTATGTTAATTGGTTTTCCTCTGCCTGTGGTTGTTCATGGCTACGTAAATTTTTACTCTATTCTGGTGAAACTAGCACCTCGTTCGGGTATAACAACTAACCGGTGCTGGAAAACAGCCTCTTATTTTTTGGGCAATTCTTATCGATGAGTAAAACTGCTGTTTTGCTTTTTTGGATCGCATGCGGTTGAACAATCAACCACATTGGCAGTGATATTACAAAATTACTTGGGATGTGCGGAACATACAGTATGGAAGATACACGATACTATGGATTCTACAATGTGCATGCTCGACGATTTTAATGCCAGCCCATTTATATGACTTGCAAAGAATAACAGTTCAAGAGGTCTGAAAATGCTTCCGACAAGATACTGCACAATGTGCATTTTATATGATAGAGTACTGAAAAGATTAAGCTTGATATAGAAATTTATCAATATAGAAAATATCGTAACCCGCAATTGATCGTACCCGCAATCGTACGATAAAAAATCCTGACTGAAGATTTGCCCTGAATAATGAAAATGCTAAATACGGATAGAGCTTTAAAACCTGACTTCACGTGAGTGGTGCCAACTCTACCATCCCAAGTCTTCAAAGTTCAAAGCTCGCTTAAGTGTCGTGTCTAGCTGTCTGATCTAGACCAAATTATGCTAAAGGATGCTTCAACGCGTATGACCCACTTCTAAGGATTACAGTCTGGATTGATATTTCCACTTCAGATGAGCCAGAATAATCAACCTACTGAGATAAGTAGACCTGACCCTAAGAGCGGCTGGGTATACGTACTCCATCCCAAATCACGCCTTGATTAAACGAAAGCCAGAAGTCTTAAGAGCCACTTTCAATTTCTCCACGTGGCATCACAAGCTCGTTTAGACCACTCGTTTACAAGCTTACAAGTACACCATCATGAAGCTGTATCTTTCAACTTTTGTCGCATCCCTGGTCTCTTTACTAAATGACGCAAACGCTCTTAACGTCAAAATTTTTGGACTGAACTACAGCGCACGCATTGGCGCAGATTGGCTTCCTGAGAATGAGAAATGCAAGTCCGCAGCTCAGATTCAAAAAGATATGTATGCTATAAAGGGTGTTACCGACATCGTGCGCATCTATTCCCTGGTCGATTGCAACTTGGCGGAGATCATTCTACCTGCTGCCAGAAACGCGGGGCTTCGAGTGCAGCTTGGCATTTGGACGACTGCTCGTTATAGCTCATTGGCTGGAGAGAAGGCCAAGCTGACATCACTCATTGACTCGGGTATTTACCAAGACAGTTTGGTTGTTGGCTTGCATGTGGGTAGCGAGACAATGTATCGTGAGGAAATTGATGTAAATACTGCTATCAGCTACATGAACGAGATTCGTGACTTTCTTCACAGTCGTGGCAAGTACATACCTGTTTCGATCGCTGATGTGATCAACGTCTACAATGCGAATCCGCAGTTGGTTGATGCTGTGGACGAGGTAGTGGTCAATCAATTTTCCTTCTGGGAGAATATCGATGTGACCGAGGCTGCGGCCAGAACTCTTGATCGTCTCAAGAACTTACGAATACTCTGCGCCGAAAAGGGTAAACCTATGCGTATAGGCGAGACGGGCTGGAGCTCTAGTGGCGAAGAAGTGACAGCGAGTGCCGCGACACCCGAAAACCAAGCCAAGTTCTTTTCAGACTTTTACCGAATGGCTCATGCACACAATTTCGAGTACTATTGGTATGTCGCCTTCGACTCGGATTGGCGTAGGATTATCGGGGAGAAGGAAGTGGAAGCCAGCTTCGGCATTTTCAAGGAGGATGATACAATGAAAAGTAACTTCGATCAGCTTAATATTACTTTGTTGGACAAGCGTGCTATTCGCAATGTTGGTTCCAACTTGTTGTTGTCCGAAAACAATGGCGCCGTGTATATGTCGGCAAAATCGAATGACTGGTTGGTTCAGGAACAGCAAATCTGGTTCTTTGATCCCGTCACGCTTCAAATACGCTCTATGAGCAGCGACCGCTGCCTTGATGCTTACCAGCCGTGGGACGGCTCCATTGTGTATGTGTACCGCTGCTTGGATTATGAGGGCAATCAGAAGTGGGGATACAATTCGCAGACTGGCCAAATACGGCACCTCAAGCACGTTGGCTTTTGTCTCGATACGGACCCTTTGCAGGAAAACAAGGTTCAGCTTTATGGCTGCTCGGATAACAATCCGAACCAGATGTGGGCCGTTATTGACCCGAGTAGCATTTAGCTTGCCAACCATCTTCATGCCTTTGTCACTGTACAGCCAACAATAAAATTGTTACCGTTTTTTTATTTGCACTTCGTTGGCATCGACTCTTTAGTAGGTGCCGAATTTCTTAAGCTCAACTAGACATTTTAGCTTGACGACGAGATCTTGATCAACCTACGTAGTGTGTCTTTCTACAGCAAATAGACGCATACATAGCTTCCTTTCGATGCCCACGTTCAGCACGGAAAGATCATGAACCATCTAAGCTGGAAATGCTTTGGTAGTCTGACATTTCTTGCAATAATACTTATTTATTATGTACAAAACGGATCACAAAAAAATCGATTGTGTGTATTCGAAACGTAAGGCGTGACCGTGTCATTGTAGGAAGTAAAATAGTGAGATGCTCTCATAAGGAGCGTGTTGCAGTGACTGCTATAGAACAAAGGTGCTGGTGATACCCAATTTAGCAAAGATAGCCATTTACTTTTGAAAGTGCATTCAATTGCAGGGAAAAAGTACTTAAGGGGGCTTTTAGATAAACGATGAAGAAAACAAATTAAATAGCTGACCAACAGCTGTTCAGACATTCACCATAGATATCATCCAATTTGACGAACTTGAGTAGCAGTCATGAATCATGACCATGATCGCAAAATCTTCAAAATTCTAGGGGAATAGTTGAGCAATTTTCATTGGATACGGGCGGTGTCATACTTCATTGATTTGAAAAACAAGAGTCATGGCCAGTGCAGGATCTTATCAGCATGATACAGAAGACAAAGGATTGCGATAACGTAGCCTGGAGAAAAAATCCATTCAATCATTTGTTGGGCTTCCACTCTAGCTTCCAGAGTTTAGCAGTCACTTTGAACGAATTTAGCGAGGTCTGCGGCGTCCGATATCCTTTTGCTTTAAACATAGGTTGCACTTTCAACTGTAGAGCCTTTCACGGTTCCAATTCTCCACAACCTCCACACGACTTTCAGGGTAACATTATGATCAAAGTGAACAAGGTATCCCTCCTACCCATACAACCCTTTATACGGTGCTCGCTCGTGAGCCGTCTACAGGTCTTCTCAAGACAAGGTGCTGCTCTTGGCATCAATTTGGACAGACAATTTTTGATTCGAGTGGATTAAACTGCTAAGCACATGGTTGTTGCAAGCAAGTGCATTGCGAACCATGTTGTTGTTATGAACGCTGCATTTGTTTGTCGAATTGAAATGTTAAACCTGAGGAATCAAGAATACCTCGGCGTCAAGGCTCTGTCTACCGGATTCATGTAAATGGTGTTAATCTCCATCTTTTAGCTTCTGTAACGGTTCAAGATCATCGGGTCAAAGAGATGCTAAATATTCTCGTGGTAAAATTGCTACTTTTTCATCATTCAGAAAGCACTGTTACAAAATGGCGACGGATACACTTGCATCCAGCGGTACCAAAAGCTTGAATTAAATAAATGAGCACTAAGTAATTCTTTGTCTGCAAAAAAAGAGCAAATTGCATTGAGCACTAAGTAATTCTTTGTCTGCAAAAAAAGAGCAAATTGCATTGATACACAAGTGTATCAAAGTATCGAAAATGTAATTAAATAAAGTTTAAAGCAAATTGTTTAGCACAAACATACAGAATTCAATTAGCTTCTGCCTTTCTCTGCCTTTGGCACTTTGGAAATTCTTGACTCGCACAGTCCGCGCAAGCAAACGTCTAAATGATTTGTCCAAAGACTGTTCCTAAGTCGCGGAATTAGGGAGCTAGCACTTGTAGAGCAGTGAGGAAGACGAACCCACATTGCAGTTGGTGCTCCTAGAGCTTTCAGTGTGTGTGCAGCGGCGCTGCCGTAGCTTAGCGCTTTTTAAGACACCGACCTTTGTTCTTTACAAGAACCAATACGAGTGTAGCAGATCGCAATCCGCTACCTCCAAGACTAATAGACTTTTCGGTTTAAATTCAGCACTGATTTTTATTTAGCCACACCATGCCCATCTCATGTGACGCACACCCCTGATACCAGGGTACGTGTAACCCCGTTACACTCATCCTCATAAAAATTGAGAACATTTACAGCTCCAATCGATTATTGCCTAAACGAGGCTCGCGTGTCCGTTATACACTGCATCTTAATTCGCTGGAATAAACGACTTCCGTGTCAATGAGCCCTTTGTCAACGACACTGAAATTACTAAGTCTTGCTAATTCTGACAGCGAACACGGGCAGAGCCCAATTTCGTCTCCCGCACGCGGTGCAATGTCGGACAGTGCGTCCGCAGCACCGGGGGATGCACATCCTAGGCTCGATGAGCACGAGCGTCGCGCTTTGCGCACGCTATCAATGACGAGTGACCTCGTTGATAATGTGGAGGTGGTCGACTACGAGTCTGACAGTCCTTTTCTCGCATGGGATGACAAGGAAGGCGAGCTGCGCCAGCGGCGTGATACGAGCCCGGCTCGCCTTGTGGACCCCATGTCCGTTCCCTGACTTCTCGTCTACCGAGGGATGTGGTGTAATCACCAATTACCTCGACGGGGCTCGAAGGCGGCAGCTGGAAGCTGCCCATAAGGCAGCTTTGAAGCACGCCCATCCACGGCCGGTCATTGACCCTCGTGTGGAATATGGCTTCCCCCAGCGGATCCCGCTGTGGACGCGAAGGACGCGGTAACTCGATCGTTACGCGTCCACATCATCGGGCCCCCGGTCAGAACGGAAGATAAACTTGCCACATGGAAAGCTCTTCGAGCTCGTTTCTTGTTCCACAGAAGTTTTCGTTGGAAGCTTATCGCACTCGTCTGAGTGATCGACGAGGTGGCTCTCGTGTACCCGCAATGCGGACGATACCTTTAGTGGCAAAAACGTTACAGATGACGAAGCGCTCTTTAAACGATGGGTGCGACGGCACCAAAAGCTTTCCTCACTGTATAACCTACAGTTGAGCCACAAGGAAGTGGAGGTGCGTGATGAGCAACACCTCCGATTTGAGTTTGCCAAACTCAAGGCACGCCGTCGACTAGCTTCAGATTGTCGCCCTGCGACGTATGGGATAACCCTCAACAATCCCGCGAGCTCTGTGTCTGCGGCCGCAAGAGCTCAAAGTCACTGCTTGAGCTCAGCTCATGCAACTTCTACTTCCCTGGCTATTGCCGGGAAGCGCGGAATGTCTGATGACGCGGGACGCCCTGATCTTTCCGATCTTTCCGATTCAAAGCGTCCACGGCGACTGGGCAATCTTTCCGAAGTGGCGCCTCAAACTCCCACGAGTTTTCGGAGTCGGGGTATCCCCGCCACTTCACCAGATATTGGGTTTGACCCTGGTGGCGACGTCGTCTCAATAGATGCTCCACGTGATAGTGGACTTCACCGTTATCATCGGGAAGAGTCGGTGGCGGGCGGTGACGACCGGGTCGACCGCCGTCCGGTGACT